TCGAAGCGATCAGCGTTTTGGGCATCCCCCACCGGGGATGCCTAAAACGTTAGGGAGATGGGAATGGGGTTACTAGGGCTCCTGGGATGCCCAAAACGCGGGGATGCCCATATCACTGTGACAGCGCTCCACCTCGAAAGCCAGGACGATATGCACGTGAATAAGACGAAATTTGAAAGAAACAATTCTCTAGAGTGTTATCACATGACCTGTATTGGGAAAACAAAACGTACAAGCTAAAGAGGTCTACCGGCCGTTCGCTCGCGAGACCCTGGGAACGAGGTAGTGTGCCCATGCCTTTTTAGTTTCTTGTTGACTTCCGCTTTCAAGCAAATCGAATTTGTTAGCATTCCCCTACGCCAGTCTCGATTTTCCAGAGGGCAAATACAAGGAAGGTTGGGTGCCTAGATGCTAATCGAAATCAAAGGTAAGAGATCAGAGTTTTAATGAAACACAACGAGCAAAATTGCCGAGTTCAGGGCTCTCAAAGTCCGTTCAAACAGTACAGTCAGTACAATAACATTCATTATCATGAGATGAACGCCGGATGAACGATACCACCAAATCTAAAACGAATACCGGACGTATTTCGCATCGTCAGTTCATATCCGCCATCCAGTTTGAATTAGCGATTGTATATGGCTGGCGTCAAAAGGTCCGCTCAAATACCTTGTAATTGTTAAAAAAAATACACGCAGTACATGGTCAGTTTCTCCGACCTCCTTTTTTAAAAATTTATTTGGGATCCAAAACAAGGCAGACGCTCAAGGGGGCGCGTCTGGGGGCGCCCAGCAACAACATTTATTGACCAACTAGAGAATGACACCGTTCTTTCGAGGCAGGATCTTGCATCTGTCATAGCCAATAAACGGGAATGGGACAGACTTATAAAATCAGTGCGAGTGCGCCCGAAAAAGATAGACTTAGATTTGATGCAATTGTCTCACAGCCTTTCCAAAAAATCCCCCATTTATGTACATCGATTGTTACAAGGAGTGTCTGTGATACCTTCTCTGACAGCACAAACTCAAACTCAGTATTTTCTCCAGGGAATACCCGGTTTGGAGGATTGTTGTCTCTAGCAGGATCACAAGGTCCAGAGGAGATGTGTTTGTCGTTAGAACATCAAAATCCGTCGAAAACCTCTGACAAAATGGGTTATTAATTTATGATCGCTTTACAGTTTCGTAGGTGCCGTGCGCCAGCGAGGATATGGCTTGCGGTTATTGATTTTCAAAAGTTGATCTGGATCAGATAAGAAGCGAAGAAATCGTTTACAGTAGATTTATAAAGATCCCATTGATTAATCGTGCTAAGCGACAGGTATAGACATTTTTCAAGGTGAGACTTTAAATAAGTAATTTATTTATTCACACGAAACTCCTCTGGACCCTGTGGCAGGATAAACATTCCCGTCGGCTGTGTTACGATCAAGTTGTCGGCAAAAACTTGTGACGAGGCATCAACTTTACCTCACTTTACGCTCGGGTTTACGGCAGTTGACCCATCACATGCCCGCGTGACGGAAAACCGGGATGCTCCGGCTGATTTTCCTATGATTTGATAGCATAGACTAAGCCCTTTCCCTGTAGTCTGAACAATCAACAAAAAATAAGCTCGATGAGTTGAAGAAATTTGGTAATTTCTCTTTCCCACCATCAAGGCTTTCAGTGTCGTGTCTATGGTTTTAAATCATGTGTTCGACAGTGCACGAAAATCCATGCTCAACAATGTGCAAAGATTAAAACGGTGTTTGTTGGTTTTTGTACTCAACTTACCGTATCGTAGAATTCCCTTAATGGAATTCCTACACGTGGTGCAATTCCATGGCTTTTACTTCGGGTAGAAGAGCACAGAACGCGTCATCAGAATGGAATGGGCAAAAGAGTAACATTATCGTTAATTTATGACAAATGTATGCAACTGGGTAGTCGTAATAGAGACAAACTTATGCATTGACATGAACGCACTACAATGTCTTGTCACGGTAGAATCGAGTACTTTTAGTTGCTAACTTTGGAAGTGTGGAAATGTGGAAATGTGTCTCCATTGTCTGTATGTGTCTTGGTTGTCTTTATCTAGTAACTCTGGAAGTGTGGAAATGTGGAAATAGGTCTTCATCGTCTTAATTTATCTAGTAACTCTGGAAGTGTGGAAAAGTGGAAATGTGGAAATATCATTATGTATTCCTTGTCTTTGTCTAATAACTCTGAAAGTGTGGAAGTGTGGAAATGTGGAAATGTGGAAAAATGTCTTCCTTGTCTTTATTTATCTAATAACTCTGGAAGTGTGGAATTGTGGAAATGTGGAAATATGTCTTCCTTGTCTTTGTCTAATAACTCTGGAAGTGTAGAAGTGTGGAAATGTGGAAATATGGAACTATGTCTTCCTTGTCTTAATTTATCTAATAACTCTGGAAGTGTGGAAATGTGGAAATATGTCTTCCTTGTCTTTCTCTAATAAGGCTCTGGAAGTGTGGAAGTGTGGAAATGTGGAAATATGTCTTCCTTGTCTCTGTTTATCTTATAACTCTGGAAGTGTGGAAATGTGGAAATGTGGAAATATGTCTTCCTTGTCTTTGTCTAATAACTCTGGAAGTGTGGAAATGTGGAAATGTGGAAATATGTCTTCCTTGTCTTAATTTATCTAATAACTCTGGAAGTGTAGAAATGTGGAAATATGTCTTCCTTGTCTTCATCTAGTAACTCTGGAAGTGTGGAAACAAGACATTGTATTGCGTTCATGTCAATGCATAAGTTTGTCTCTATTACGACTACCCAGTTGCATACATTTGTCATAAATTAACGATAATGTTACTCTTTTGCCCATTCCATTCTGATGACGCGTTCTGTGCTCTTCTACCCGAAGTAAAAGCCAATTTCATCGCCTATTTCTGAAGTGCCACTGGTACTCGTCGACGGAAGTTTTCACTCCCGCCTGAAAAGTCGAGATGAGTTTTATAATAGGCTTAGACTTGCAAAAGTCCGCCGTTCTTTGAAAGAACGACTGCGTTTTCTCACACACGCTATTTGGGTCTTGTTGCAATGACGTCTCGAGTGACCTGTGCATTGATGATTAAAGGTAGTATATGTTTTAGTAATCTACGAAGCCAAGTAGGATGGGGATTATTAAACCGCGGATTTCTTTGGTGTCATACTTCTCTTTCCCGCGATCAAGGCTTTCACTCTCGTGCACGTGGTTTTAACTAAATCATGTGTTACTGACAGTACACGAGATCCATGCTCAACGACGTACAAAGATTGAAACGGCCTTTGCTCAACTTACCGTATCGTAGAGGTTTGGATTTGCAAAATTCCGCCGTTCTTTGAAATTTTTTTACACACAACCTTTGGGTCTTGTTGCAATGACGTCTCGAGTGGCCTGTTAAAAGGAAGTGCTTGGATAAATAACAAATAAAAATACACTCGGTAAACGAAGCTTCACGACGGCTCCGCTCAAAGAACAGTTATCAATGAACGAGAAGATGAGAGTGTAAGTGCAAAGAGTAGAATTAGTATGCTCTATAAACAGATGAAATGCTCCTCGACGCTGATTAGTTTCTCCGTTCCAACAGATAGTTTGACTCTCGTCCTCATTTTAAGTCAATTCGGAACTACTCAAACAGGGCTTTCGATCTCGAGTTTTTAAATTGTGTGATACGCATGAAGTTGGTTTTGAGCTCAACTTACCGTATCGTAAAATTTCTTTAATGGAATTCTTAGGGCCTGGGGCCCGTTTCACGAAAGTCCCGATAATTAACGGGCCCGGTAAGCTGTTGCCGTTCACATTAAAGATCGAGGTTTCAATAGTTTTGCATCTACCATGATAAACCTATCAGTTAATGAAACAAAATGGAGTAGTTGCTAGCCAGGACCCGCGCTCTTGCCCTTTATATTTCGATTTGAATATTTGATTTCGGGCCCGAAAAGTTATTGGGTCTTTCGAGAAACGGGCCCCTGTTTACATAAGGTGTGTAAAGCCCGAACCGGGCTGCCTCGGCTCTTTAATACCTTGACGAGACTTTGACAAGAGCCGAGCCAGCTGGCTCACCATCATGAAAAAAGGTAGCCTGCAGGCTAGAAAAAAGGCCCTAAATAAGAGATTTCACGAATGCTTGTCTCGTGACCAAAACAAATGTTGCGTGACTGTCTGGTACATCTCTTCCCGGGAAGGGGGGCGGGATTTTCAGGCTCCCCAGCACTTTGTGAGAAGAAAGGCGAGAGAACGAATTTGTTCTTCTTTGTCCCGCACGCTGCAAAGGAACAATTCTAACCCGGGAAATTTTTCATTTCTTTGATTTCTTTTTAAAGACACATGTAGACGTTCAACGATGGATCATTAGACTTGCTGGAAGGCTTTTCTTTCGGGATCGGGGGACGCTCTTAACGGAGCTGAACCTGAAAAGTACTGAGAACGGTTTGTGTATCCGCAAGAGAGAATGAGCTAAGTTAGATCATTCTCTCTTGGTATCCATCAAAAGTCTCCGCCAATGGCAGCTGCTGCTGATCCACATGACTTGCTTTGTTCAACGGATGGAAAAGAAAATTTTATACGCCTTACCCGACTTTTAATAAGTGGAGGCACGACTCTTTTAAGGGAAACGTTTGACATGATTATTTCACCAAGTACACTTCCTACAACCCTGAACAATTCTAGTACGAAAGCACAGCTTAAGACAGCGAAACTTACCAAGCCACAATGGGACTGTCTTTACCCCTCTCCAGGGCTGAACGGCAGGTCGACAGATTTTGATGTCACCTTGCTATTTCGTTTGCTCAGGACAATATGCAACCTCGCCCCTCCAACCACAGGATGGGATGCGATACCNAATGAGCTAAGTTAGATCATTCTCTCTTGGTATCCATCAAAAGTCTCCGCCAATGGCAGCTGCTGCTGATCCACATGACTTGCTTTGTTCAACGGATGGAAAAGAAAATTTTATACGCCTTACCCGACTTTTAATAAGTGGAGGCACGACTCTTTTAAGGGAAACGTTTGACATGATTATTTCACCAAGTACACTTCCTACAACCCTGAACAATTCTAGTACGAAAGCACAGCTTAAGACAGCGAAACTTACCAAGCCACAATGGGACTGTCTTTACCCCTCTCCAGGGCTGTACGGCAGGTCGACAGATTTTGATGTCACCTTGCTATTTCGTTTGCTCAGGACAATATGCAACCTCGCCCCTCCAACCACAGGATGGGATGCGATACCAGCCACTACAGACCACAGTTTAACTGCAGATTTGGTCAGAATAAGACATTACCGAAACTCAGTCTATGGACACGTGAACCAAGGCATGTCAATAACTGATGACGAGTTTTTGACACTTTGGAAGGAAATTAGCGACGCTCTAGTCCGGATTGCCGGGCAAATCAGCCCTAAAACGAAAACTGAATGGCAAGTAGCTATCGATAAGTTTTTGAAAGATCCTCTCACTATAGAGCATGAGAGGCATGTTGTTGAGTTGGAGATGTGGTATCAAAGTGATTCGGAAGTCAAAAAAAGCATAGAGGAACTAAAAATAGCAGTTGCAGAGGACATCAAAGGCATCAAAGATCATCTAGAGCGGGATGTAACTCAAGAGGGCATTGACCGTTTGGAGAGAAGGGTTCAAGATCTACAAACTCAACTGGAAATGGTGAATCAGTCTATGGACAGACTTAACTCTTCAGCGGGCTTGTGTTCACCACCGTCAAGAGGTAACTGAATTATTTAACACCCTCTGTAGTTTAATGTCACATACGCGGTTTTAGAAAGTCCTAGACGAATACACTCTTCAGCTTTAAACCTAATCTCTATTCTGAGGTCATGGTCATTATTGTCTATGTCCAAATGAAATTTTTATTATCTTCACCTGTGTTAAACGTTCCGCATAGTTACGTATTTCCTCTCTTTTTATCTGTGAATCTCTTTAACACACGGAAGAGGAAAAATGCCCTATCAGCGTCTTCGTATTTTGATTCACTTTTGATCACTTTTAGTTTGGTCAAACTTGTAGTAAGCGGTCAACCTATATTAATTGGTCGATTGACCATTTCACTGTGGATTAAAGTTTATTATATCAAGTAAATGGTTATTTTTATTGGTATTAATGGAGCTCTGTTCTTAGGCGTTTTTAAAGGTTGACATCTTAACGCTTTCACTGCTTTAGTGGCCAATAATGCAGAAAAAAAAAATCGCCAAAAATTCCAAATTTCTTTTTCATCCGTCCATGAGTGGAAGGGTTAATCTATGCGGACGGTTTTAGCTCTATCTAGCTTTTCATCATGACACATGTTTTTCGTTTCTCGAACGCAATTTCAGGGGTAGTCAAGAATAATTCTAATTCTAATTCTCCATCTATACTGGACTGATCAACAACTGAGGGAAACTACCATGTTAGCTTCCACTGATGTTAATATGACAAATAAAAACATGGATTTGACATGACTAGTGGTCGAGACAAGAGTATACACGCTTGTTCAATCGTTTATTGTTCAGTTTACTTTTGTTTCGTTAACGATGACTCGTGATCAGAGAAGAGATGGCTACATTCTCGGCGGCCTACCCTGGCTGGGTTTTTTTTCTTGGCTTGAACCTGAAAATCTAACTCAGTATTTCTTTTTCAACCAACGTAACAGCTCGTCTACGACTTTGGCTTGATTATGAGAAGTTGGCAGGACCTTCTTCTCCAAGTGGAGTGTTCCAAGAAGGTGTGATCCAGGGATCCACAGGCATTACCCTTGTCTCAGATCAGCCACAAACCGGCTTTGCGAGAGGTACACAAGAGGAGGCTCTAAACACGCAGGAACCCGAAGGAGCGGTCCAGGGGATGGCCGTAGCACGTACACCTGTCAGCCCAAATATGCCACAAGGTGTGGTTACAAGGGACGTACGAGAGGGCCTTCCATCAGTGGTACGGGAACTTCCAGGAGCGGTACAAGGAGTGCCGTTAGTAGCTCCTGTCTCCTCAAGTCAACCACAAGTAGTGACTACATCTGAGTCTACCCAAGAAGTGTTGAATATGATTGCGTCAAAGTACTTTCAGATACTTGACCCATCAACACCTGAAGAACTCAATGGTTTTATAGAGTACATGAAAAAGGTACGCGAAGTGATTATTGTTGATGTTAAAACAGGAAGCTTGATTATCACTGTTGAATGCAGTTCTCTCCAAATCCTTGACGAACTGTGGATAGACTATAAAACAGGTCATCTTAATGAAATGGCACAGAAATACCTTGTGACAGAAGACGTTCTTAAAGCGTTTGGGCTAACAGAGCTGAAACTGAAGACAACGATCGTGGAGGAGGAGTACAGAGCTTGTCGCGAGGTTTTCTTAACCAGTTTAGGTAAGTACTCTTGTACTTAAAAAGTAACACTTTCATATCAGTTTCACACTCACAGTCAAATAACCAGACATTAAATGTAGTTCTAACTTTTTAAGCAAGTGAACAGACTCATAAGCTATCTATAATGTGCTGCGTAGCTCTGTGAAACAAATAATGGAACAGAAAATTGGCTGTGGGGTTGAAATAACCCATAACCCGTCTAAGCGTTAGCCCTAGAAAAGGGAATCAGGGGACCACACGAGGCAAAGAATCGTCTGGCTTCTTAGTGTAGTTGGTGTATGTAGAGCGACGGGGGAACTAATCCGGAGGTCATGATGGGTCGAATCCCACCACGTTTAAAATATATCTGTATTTTTTTTGCCTCTTGTGGTCCCCTAATTCCCCTTTACTACTGGGGCAAACGCTCAGTGGGATTTTTGGGTTGTTTGTAGCACATGAATTTTCACTAAAGTTAATTCTCTATTCCATCACAAGACTCATAACCAGTTGTCAGTGAGCTTTAGTTGACACGTGATCCTCGGATAATGACAACAAACAAATCATTAGCTGTCTTGGTAACTTGGTAACTAGCCCTGGATTTGCGCTAATAGTCTTTCAAACAGCTCGGTCCTGTACTATTACTTAAAAAAAGAAGATCAATGATGTCGTTCACAAGCTGACAGATCCCATATATAACCGTTAACGTTCAGCCTCCTTTCGCACTGCCTCATCATTGATTAACTCCTTTATTTTTATACATACCAGTAAATGACGAACAAGCAGTGAGAAAGTTTGCGGATCTTGACGCATCTGAGGGAAGCAAACAACAAACCCTATCGGGTCAGCAACGCATAATCAGATCCACATGACTTGCTTTGTTCAACGGATGGAAAAGAAAATTTTATACGCCTTACCCGACTTTTAATAAGTGGAGGCACGACTCTTTTAAGGGAAACGTTTGACATGATTATTTCACCAAGTACACTTCCAACAACCTTGAACAATTCTAGTACGAAAGCACAGCTTAAGACAGCGAAACTTACCAAGCCACAATGGGACTGTCTTTACCCCTCTCCAGGGCTGAACGGCAGGTCGACAGATTTTGATGTCACCTTGCTATTTCGTTTGCTCAGGACAATATGCAACCTCGCCCCTCCAACCACAGGATGGGATGCGATACCGGCCACTACTGACCTCAGTTTGACTGCAGATTTGGTCAGAATAAAACATTACCGAAACTCAGTCTATGGACACGTTAACCAAGGCATGTCAATTACTGGTGCCGAGTTTTTGACACTTTGGAAGGAAATTAGCGAAGCTCTAGTCCGGATTGCAGGGAAAATCAGCCCTAAAAAGAAAACTGAATGGCAAGTAGCCATCGATAAGTTTTTGAAAGATCCTCTCACTGTAGAGCATGAGCGGCATGTTGTTGAATTGGAGACGTGGTATCAAAGTGATACGGAAGTCAAAAAAAGCATAGAGGAACTGAAAATAGCAGTTGCAGAGGAAGGTCGTGACATCAAAGGCATCAAAGATCATCTAGAGCGGGATGTAACTCAAGAAGGCATTGACCGTTTGGAGACAATGGTTCAAGATCTAAAAGATCAACTGGAAAAGGTGAATCAGTCCATAGAAAGACTTAACTCTTCAGCGGGCTTGTGTTCACCGTCAAGAGGTAAATCAATTATTTAATACCCTCTGTTTGAAGTACTACGCTGTTTTAGAAAGTCCTAGACGAATACACTCTTCAACTCTAAACCTAACCTCACCTCTGAGGTCGTATTTTCCTCTCTTTTAATCTGTGAATCTCTTTAACATTTAACACACGGAAGAGGAAAAATGCCCTATCAGCGTCTTCGTATTTTGATTCACTTTTAGTTTGGTCAAACTTGTAGTAAGCGGTCAACCTATATTAATTGGTCGATTGGCCATTTCCCTGTGGATTAAAGTTTATTATATCAAGTAAATGGTTATTTTTATTGGTATTAATTGAGCTCTGCTCTTAGGCGTGGTTAAAGGTTGACATCTTAACGCTTTCACTGCTTTAGTGGTCAATAATACAGGGGCACCCAACGAGGATATAGTTCAAAACCAGTTAACATAGCATTGCTGAACGTATTTTAGTATTTAAACGGTAGATATAGGCATATTTTTATCCCCTAAAAACTTTTCATCTGTTCGGATTTCCTAGCTGAAAGTCTAGTGATCCGAAAATTATAGGGATCAAAACTTACCTTTTCGAAAATTTCAAGCAGGAAAAGGCTCCCGAAAATTCTAGGTGGCCTTTTTTAGGGTAAAAATCCGTTAAAAATGGGTAATTATACCATTTTGTAGATGTTCGAAAATCCTAGGAGAGGCAGGCAAGCAAGAAATTTTACAACAAATGTTCCGAAAATTCTAGATCTCAAATCGTCTTCCGAACAGATATTTTCCGAAAATTGCCGTTGGGTGCCCCTAATAATATAGCAAAAAAAAGCGCCAAAAATTCCAAATTTCTTTTTCATCCTTCCATACGTGTGTCTTAGAGTGGAAGGGTTAATCTATGGGGACGGTTTTAGCTCTATTTGGCTCTTCATCATGACAAGTGTTTTTCTAATTCTAATTCTCCATCTATACTGGACTGATCAACAACTGTGGAGACTATCATGTTAGCTTCCACTGATGTTAACATGACAAATAAAAACATGGATTTGACATGACTAGTGGTGGAGACAAGAGTATACACGCTTGTTCAATCGTTTATTGTTCAGTTTACTTTTTTTTCGTTAACGATGACTCGTGATCAGAGAAGAGATGGCTACATTCTCGGCGGACTTCCCTGGCTGGTTTTTTTTCTTGGCTTGAACCTGAAAGTCTAACTCAGTATTTCTTTTTCAACCAACGTAACAGCTCGTCTACGACTTTTGCTTAATTGTGAGAGGTTGGCAGGAGCTTCTTCTCCAAGTGGAGTGTTCCAAGAAGCTGTGATGCAAGGATCCACAGGCATTACCCTTGTCTCAGATCAGCCACAAACCGACTTTGCGAGAGGTACACAAGAAGAGGCTCTAAACACGCAGGAACCCGAAGGAGTGGCCCAGGGGATAGCCGTAGCACGTACACCTGTCAGCCCAAATATGCCACAAGGTGTAGTTACAAGGGATGTACGAGAGGGCCTTCCATCAGTGGTACGGGAACTTCCAGGAGTGGTACAAGGAGTCCCGTTAGTAGATCCTGTCCCCTCAAGTCAACCACAAATAGTGACCACATCTGAGTCTACCCAAGAAGTGTTGAATATGATTGCGTCAAAGTACTTACAGAAACTTGACCCATCAACACCTGAAGAGTTTAATGGTTTTAGAGAGTACATGGAAAAGGTACGTGAAGTGATTATTGTTGATGTTAAAACAGGAAGCTTGATTATCACTGTTGAATGCAGTTCTCTTCAAATCCTTGACGAACTGTGGATAGACTATAAAACAGGTCGTCTTAATGAAATGGCGCAGAAATACCTTGTGACAGAAGACGTTCTTAAAGCGTTTGGGCTAACAGAGCTGAAACTGAAGACAACGATCGTGGAGGAGGAGTACAGAGCTTGTCGCGAGGTTTTCTTAACGAGTTTGGGTAAGTACTCTGGTACTTAAAAAGTAACACTTTGATATCAGTTTCACACTCACAGTCAAATAACCAGACATTAAAAATAGTTCTAACTTTTTAAGCAAGTGAACAGACTCATAAGCTATATATAATGTGCGCGTAGCCCTGTGAAACAAATAATGGAACAGAAAATTAGCTTTGGGGTTGAAATAACCCATAACCCCTCTAAGCGTTAGCCCTAGAAAAGGGAATCAGGGGACCACACGAGGCAAAGAATCGTCTGGCTTCGTAGTGTAGTTGGTGTATGCAGAGCGACGGGGGAACTAATCCAGGGACCTTGATGGGTTGAATCCCACCACGGTCAAAACATCTGTTTTTTTTTTTGGGCCTCGTGTGGTCCCCTAATTTCCTTTACTACTGGGGCAAACGATCAGTGGGGTTTTTGGGTTGTTTGTAGCACATGAATTTTCACTAAAGTTAATTCTCTATTCCATCACAAGACTCACAACCAGTTGTCAGTGAGCTTTAGTTAACATGTGACGATTTGTCGTCCAGTATTTTGTTCATGACACTGGGCTTTTAACCGTTAAGATTTTCTTTATATGGAGAACAACTGAAGCCAGGTTTGCGGTAATCCTCGGATACTGACAACAAACAAATCATTAGCTGTCTTGGTAACTTGGTAACTAGCCCTGGATTTGAGCTAATCGTCTTTCAAACAGCTCGGTCCTGTCTTATTACTTAAAAAAAGAAGATCAATGATGTCGTTCACAAGCTGACAGATCACATACATAATCGTTAACGTTCAGCCTCCTTTCGCACTGACTCATCATTGATTAACTCCTTTATTTTTATACATACCAGTAAATGACGAACAAGCAGTGAGAAAGTTTGCGGATCTTGACGCATCTGAGGGAAGCAAACAACAAACCCTATCGGGTCAGCAACGCATAATCTCTGATCAAAAGACAACTCACGAAGAACCTGTTCTGAATAAGGACACTAAGCGCAGTTCTGCTAGTGAAGGCATGGAAATCTTCGTAAAGATGCTAACTGGAAAGATAACTAAAATAGGCGTTGAGGAAAGCGATTTCATTGAAGATGTGAAGGAAAAGCTTTACCACCTGGAAGGGATTCCTACTGACCAGCAACGTCTTATGTTTTCTGGCAGAGAATTGATGGATGGCAACTCTTTGAAGGACTGCAACATCCAAAACAAATCTATGATATTCTTGGTCTTGCGTCTTCGGGATAGTTTCGAAATTTCCATTAGAACCCTGGCTGGAAGGACCATTTCATTACCTGTTGAATCAGCCGATTCTGTCCAGATTGTAAAAGCAAAAGTTTATGACAAGGTGGGTGTTCCCCCTGATCAGCAACGTTTCGTTTATGGTGGTAGGCTACTAGAAAACACTCGTTCTCTAAGCTACTACAAAATTAAGAACAAATCAACTTTACAGTTGGTGGTAAAACGCCGGGACACCATATTCATTCGAATAAATGCTGAGAACCCCATCACGTTCTCTGTAGAATTCGACGCAAATGACACCATTGAGAACATAAAAGGAAAAATTCGAGACAAGGAAGGCGTTCCGCTAGAAAAACAACATCTCACGTTTGCTGGAAGGGAACTGGAAGACCATTGTACTCTAAATGACTATAGCATTCAAAGAGTCAACATTGAACTTGGATTTAAAGCTGCCAAATGTCGTGCAGATTGTCGTTAAGATGCCTGCTGGAAAAACGATAAAATTGAATATGGAATCGAATTGTTCAACCGACGCTTTGAAGCAAAAAATTATGGAGAAAGAAGGAGCGTCAACCGAGCAACAACGCCTCTTTTGTGGAGGCGAGGAGCTGGAAAGTGGTCGTACTCTTAAAGACTACAATATATCTAGCAGATCGACTGTATATTTGATTTCGTGTAAGTTATTGGAGAAGAAGTAGACCACAAAATATTTTTTCATTGCTAAAATGTATCATCATAAAAATCGAAATTATGTTTTTCCCATGACAATATAACCCTTATTACTCGAATGACCTGGTGACTTGGAATTGGTGATGAACCGGCAGTTCCAGCTTTGGCTGAACGGGGTATCAGAATTTTGTGCTATCGACTCGATTGATAAGAAGACCTAACCAGTGGCGGATCCAGGGAAGGGGCCCGGGAGGGCGGGCGGGCTACCCCTTATTTTTAGAACAAATTGAGGGCCAAGAAGACCGCCCCCCTTTTCTCCGGGGCTTGAAGCCCGCCCCCCCCCCCCCCTGCTTATCTCAATTTCTGGATCCGGCACTGCTAACCATGCGACCATCAAGATGTTTCAGACTAGAGATTGAGCTAACTCTTCATCCTGACTAAAATTTTCCCTCACGGCGTAGAATGATTACAAATAGCCTGTTCGTAAACGGTCAATGCTGTCGTTAGGCTACTTTAGTAACATATCGGCAAACGTTTTTGAAGAATGAAGACTTGAGAATCGCCGGGCAAGGATGACGATGCTGCAAAGGTTTACCATCTTAAAAAAAGTCAGTCCCACGTTCAATCTCGTTCACAGGACTCTTCCCTCAGATATTGGAATTTTTAGAAAAAGGCGACCCAGGTTTTTACTTTCGTGAATGAATGATATGACTATGGTACAACTTAAGTCACTTTATGATTCCACCCTATTAGTCATTAGTTTAGCCTGCGTAGCATGGCGGTTTTGGTTGGGCGCGCTAAGTAATAAAGGCGGGCGAGGGCAGAGAAACCGCGAGGAGATTGGGGCGGGAGCAACTTGACAAAACCGCCAAGCTACGCAGGCTATCATTAGTTATAAGGCAAATTTAGGTACGAGAAAAGTAGTTACATGTACATATAGCATATTTTTTGTTTGTTTGTTTGTTTTTGTTGTCAGTCGTCGTCTTTTCTTTAAAAAAGA